AATTGATGAAGGGTTATCTGCAATTCTCAATAATGCTTTAGCTGAATGAGAAGAGATTCCTTTCATGGCTATCAATTTTGAGGGTTCATCAGAAAAAATAAGTGAAAAAAATCATTATGTTTTACATCTTTACAGCTCTCTCATCAATGGTCAAAAAGCAGTAGTTACTCTTACAGGAATCCAGATTTTCTTTGATACACTTGTACCTGATAAAGAAAACATAGACGAGTTTAAAATAAAAATAGATGCAATTCTCTCTAGTATTATAAATAACTATAAAATAGAATATATTAAGGCCTTCTCCTTACGCGGTTACCATACAGAAAAAAAGTTATATTTACGAATTTTTACACTCAGTAGTAGGGATAGGAAGAAAGTCCTCCAAGCTATCCAAGATAACAATTTCAAAACCACTTCAGATGATATGTTCTCATTCCACCATAAAATAGCTAGAGAAAATGGAATTGCAATTTCTGGTTGGTCTATAATAAGCAAGTATAGATATAAGAAACATTCTCATTATATGCATGATTTTCAACTTTCTGTAAATGATTTTCAACCAGTAGAAGATCTAAAAATGATAAGTGATCATTTTCTGATTTTAGCGCTCATGAGAGATCATACGCTTATTCTTACATGGGATATAGAGATACAATCATAAGAGTTGGGCGAATTTGCTAAAATACATGATGAAAAAAGTACCGTATTCATAATTTGTATGACTTTGCATTGGAAAGACGATCTGAGACTACTAAAACAAATCTGTCTCATCGATCTTGAAATTGCACCGGACTCTCGATGGATAACAGTTGTATGTGAGAATCAGACAAATTTACTAAAAGCATTTGCATTGTGCTGGAAGGCTTTCATCCCTGATATTCAATTCAGATTTAGCAATTCTGAGTATGATTGGCTGTTTATTATAGAAAGAGCTTGCAGACTTAATCTTCTCGAATAGATGTGGAAGCAAATGACGGAAAATTTTAAATCATCAAAAGAAATTCAAAAATAGAATTATTATGGAAAAGTAGAGGTGAAATCTAAAAATAGTTTTCAAATTAAAAAAGGCGCCATTGATGATAATGAGGAAGAAAATGATAAGATACAATTGATTATAATCAAACTTAGTCCAGAAGATAATTATATTTCCACTTTTCTTAAAATACCAGGTTGTGTACCAATTGACGTACGTGCATATTTTATGAAACTCTATCCTCGTGCAGAAGTTGATAAAAATATATGAATTGGGAGGTAAAGTGGATATGCTATATAATAAAATGTGGAAAATTTACTCAGAAGCAAAAGAGAGTATTTTCTTATTGCGGAGTAATGATCCGAAGGATCTAAATAAATCGTATTCTACTATAGAAAACATGCGTAAAGTAGCATATTATTATATTATAAATGCATTACATTGCCAGGAGCTTATGGTTAAGCGGAATGTAATTAATGACTATAGGGAGGTCACTTCTATAGCTTATGTATCTTTATTTGATTTACATTATCGGGTGAACGGAATGAAGGTATGAAACCTTCTAGACGCTTATGCCACTAAACGTAATATACTATTTACTATGAGACAATGTAAAAATATAGAAAAAGGTAAGTATCCTGGTGCGTATGTATTTCCACCTAAAAAAGGAATTGAGACAAAAAGACCTGTTACAGGATTGGATTTTGCATCTTTATATCCCAGTCTTATTATAGCTTACAACCTTTCTCCGGAAAAAATGATATTAACTTATAGAGAGACTGATATTGTACAAAAAAATAGAAATAACTTGCATAAGATTGAGTTTCCATTTAATAACCATATTATCCATGCTTGGTGTATAAGACATGATAATCAATTCGAGAAGAAGGATTTATATCCTATTGTATTAGAGGATCTATTCAATAAGAGAATAAATCTTAAAGCACAACATGTCTTGTTAGGAAAGAAAAAGGAATGTCTTGGGAAAATGATAAGTTCAGTTAAAGTGAAAGGTAAAAAAATCCCGGAAAGTTTAAATTTAGAATACTCATCTATATGCTTCAATTACGATTATTTGGATTTGAAACAAAAAGCTTTGAAGGTATATATGAATACTTTTTACGGGAAAGCAGGAAATTCAAAATCTCTAATCTTTCTTTGTGAATTAGCCAGAGAGATTACTTCCGCAGGTCATATAATATTGATCTCATTGCTAAATTCATATCTGAGAAAGGTTTCAGAATAAAATATGGGGATACCGATTTTTTATATCTTACCTGTCCGGATAAATATTATGAAAAATATGATAGAGATTTTAATAAAGGGAATCTTTCTAAGGAGGAATACTGGTCTGAAATGGTTAAAATTACTATAGTTGTGATGGAAAAGTTGTGTAATTAAGTAAATGCTTATCTGAGGATAAAAAATGACACATCTTATCTTAAAATAGTATACGAAGAGGTATTATTTTCTGTTTGCTTTACCAGCAAGAAAAAATACTTTGATATACCACATGAAGAAGTTGTTAATTTCAAACCAGATAATCTCTTTAAAAAAGGGATTGATAGCATAAAGCAAGACCAGTCTCAGCTTTTCAAATTTATCGGGGAAAAAATTATGTGAGAGGCTATGGATATAAATAATACACGATCAATTCATAAAATTGTTGAAGATACTCTTAGAGAGGCCAGAGATAAGCAATGGGACTTTAGTTAATTTATTGAGACGGCTACATGAAAGCCTAAAAAAAAAAACCTTCGTGTCCAGCATTTTATAACACAAATGAAAGAAAAAAAATTGAATATCCCAGATCCTGATGAACACTTCAGTTATGTAATAATAAAAGGTGAACATTATTGTGATGAAAAAGGTCGATTAACGCCGTATAGACTTGGTGATTATATGGAATATCCAGAGTTTGCAAAAGAGCAGAACATGGAAATAAATATCAATCACTATATAGAAAGTATGTTGGAATTATGTGCACGGTTTATCAATGAAGATGAGAAATATCAACCACTATTTACACATAAAATTATGCAACTCAAAGATTCAGATGAGAAAAAAAAGCAAATTGATGCATATTCCCAGAGGGAAGTCAAAAAATGGCTTACGAAATATATCAAAGGCTTAAATTAATTTATCTATATTATTAGACCTAAAGGGTTATTGCTTCACAATAGTATTCTTAGCTAAGATCACCATAATTGACTAAGATATTTATACAATATTAATAATATTTTTTCATACATAAATAGGCACGAAGTGCACTACTCCACAGATATCCAAGTTCAAATAGATATTCATCCGATCCACATATTCCGCAATCGATCATTTTTTTTATGACTCTTTATTTCAAAGAAATAGTAAATCAGAGATTCGAGACTTTGTCTCTTCTTTGAGCCTAGAGTCGCTCCTTCGGGCCTGCAGAGCAATAGCGTTTCGAGCCTACCTATATTCCATATGCATCTCACAAACCATACAATCACAATAATTAACAGAGCAAGAAAAATATATGCCGATAGCAGTAACATTAAAGTATTTACCATAGCAGGAAGAGGCAAAGTCTCGAGACTAGGTCTCATCGCTCCTATTCCTCCTATTGGAAGAGGCAAAGCCTCAGGACCAGGTCCCATCTGAGAATTTGATTAAATCAAAGAGGACATGTTATTTTCCGGTTGTGCAAGGTACAGAGTCACGTTTGGTATAGGAGTTATTTCATTATCAATATTATTCAGTATAATAGTGGAGCTAGTGTTAGTGACAGGCACGTAAGTGCTATTATTTCACAATAAGCCACGAGTCTCCGACTCAAGACACATATTATCAATTTTATCATTAGCGAAGCAAGTACCAAAGGTGCTAGTATCTGTCGAGATATCATTATTGATTTTTTTAGTTTGATCCATACTTTTTCTGCGTACAAAATACTTACTTAGATTTTTACTAGATTCATTAGACACGTAAGTATCATGATTCAAAGAAGAGACAGAGTCTTGAATCTCTGATTCATCGCCTAACGGCCTGCTTTGCAATACTACAGATATATCATTAGGCTTGGTTATGGAACTTTGTTCCTCGCACAGCATATTTTTTATTGTAGGAACAGGCTCCTTTAGAGTGACTCTTTGAGTCATGAGGCTCTGCCTCTCATCATCTCCACCAATTATAGATCCCGATATATCCTCAGGTTTCAGATGCTCTAATTCACTAATTTTTAAAGCTAATTCAACTATCTTAGACTTGAGAGAGTCAATTTCGGACTCTTTCTTTGATGAGTCTTTCTGAGATAAATCTAGCTTATCTTTCAATAATTTCATCCCATTCTGAAGTAATTTAATCTCCTCTAATTTTGTAGTATACTTAGCCTTGGATTCCGCAAGAGATATATCTTTGCGAGCATTTTCAATCTGTAGACGTCTGGTCTCTTTAATAAGTTCCAGATCATGAGTATGTAATTTCTGGATCTCAGTATTAGTCCCTCCTAGTTTTTTACTCCACTTCTTTCTATTCTGATCCCATTATTCTCTCTTCCAATTGATTTTTTTTTCTTGTTTTTCATACTTATCCCACAATTTAGCATTATATGAAACTATCTCAGAAGAATCTTGGAGGGCATTATATAATTCTTTTTTAAGATCTATTACATTGGTCATATTAAATAAAGAAAAATATTATGAAAAATAGCAAAATATGAAACACATATATACTTATCAATAATGCTATCAAAGAAATTATGCTCTAATATAATTCAACAATAATAGATAATTACTGATTTTTTTAGAAAATTATTGAATATTAAGTATGTAATTACCTATAATTACCGGTTATTTTTTAATATAAGAAATATAGATGTGTTTTAGTATTTCCAATAATTTCCAATAATTTTCGATAATTTTTTATAATTATAAAAAGGATGGAATATATAACTGTAGAATATTATCGTGCTGGTACTCCTTATTTATCACCAGAAGCTATTGAGGAAATCATTTAATCTTGAGGAATAGTTAAAAATGTATGCAGGAAAATGGCTAATAGATATAGTATTTCAACTTGTAGAATATATGAAATTTGGAAAAGACATGCTGAAGGTATACCCTTGCGCAAACAGCAACTAATACATAGTATTGTTTCTTCTGAGATAATGTCTGAAAATAATACTTTGGATAGAAAATCAAAGAAAAGAAAACCAGGATCCAGCTCTAGATCTGTTCGAGTATCTGATTTAGTTAATATTATTAGGATGGAGGCTAGCTTTTCAGCTAATAAAGTTGGTATAACTGATATTCCGATAAAAAAAGTAGATGAAATAGATGACTTACAAGTTAAGCTTGCATAAAATTGTAAAGAAAGGGAAGAAGCTAAACGTGAGATGAAAAGGATCTTAGATTCCAACTAATCTATTTTTGTTTTTTCTAAAGTAGTTTGCAATCTATTGCAGAGTAATGGCTCTTCAAGCCTACATACTGTTTTAATATCAGATTTGTTATAAGCCCGTAGTTTTTTATTAAGCTCGATTAATTCAGTATTGGATTCAAGTATCTCATATAGCGATTTTTCTAACTTCTCATAACTCATGCATTTTTTTTTAGTACCAAAGGTACTTGCTCTGCTAATAACGGATCATCAAAATCTGGGCTAAAGTCCGCAGGAGCATGCCATTCCTCCAATTTTATATTGTTATCCTTATCACTATCCATTTCTTGAGAAATTTGATCAGATATTAATGATTTATTATTCTGAGATGCAGTAGCGTAATTTACTTCGAGCTTATTCTTGACTTTATGCATAGTTACTGGAATAATGTGATCCTTCCTATTGAAAGAAATTTTCAATTCATCTTTCCCTCAATCTATAGTATATTTATATTTCTTGAGAAGTGAGTTTGAAAATATCAATGTTGGTTTAGGGATACGTACAACTACAAAATCTTCACGTATAATAAAACCTGGAGAGAATATTATTAGAAAATTACGAGCAATACTGATAGATTCTGTTGAAACTATAGCAACACCACTAAGATTATATTTTTCTGATTTATTAATCGGTTAATTTACATGTTTAATAATATCTTCTGATATAATTGGGGGTTCAGCCCTACTATCGAGTACCAATGCTGGAATTTTTAAGCGTTTAATTTTAACTGATATAGTTATAAGGCTTGTGGTAGATTCCTTTCTTCGAACAAAATCAATCTCCATAGGATCGTTCAGTATCTTCTCTTCATCATCTGATTTGGGTATTTCTGGGGCTGGCTCTCAATAATTTATAAAGTCAAATTTTGCAGGCCCTTCAGGAGTGACTCTTCGAGTCATAGATAAATTTGTATTATTAATATTATTTTTAATAGTTTCTATAACTTCTGGATCATTAAACATAGCTAGAATAATTTTTCAAATTTGTGAGTCAATAATCGTACCTGATTTCTTTTGTATTTTTTGTGAAGAACTTTTCTTTGAACTAGGCTTTTTAGATAATAATTTATTCAATTTACTCTTTGACTTTACTTTTTTTTTGATTTAACAGCATTGATAATTTTCACGATTTCAGTTTCAGTTAAGTCATTCACAGAATTAGA